GCCCGGTTTTTTCAAATCAGCCTCTAATTCTTTCTCCAGGATGGGATTTTCTAACTGAGGAATAGGGATTTCAATGATAGGACAGGCAGTAGGGGATTCTGGCCCAGAATCTTTAGCAACCTCCCTGCAGACTTTCTCAGAACCTGTGGTGTGCTAGGAATACTAACACATCTCCTAAAGAGGGTTCAATGCACAGTGTTTCTTAGGTTACTGTATTAGTTACTTTTCTGTTGCTGTGATAAAAAGAAGAGTTTATTTAAGCTTAGGGTTCAAGAGTCCATCATGGTGCGGAGGCATGGTGACAAGAGTAGGCTAGAGCAGAGAGAGGAGCAGCTTACATCTTCAAGTAGGCACAGGAAGCAGCAGGGCTTAAGAATGCTCAAAGCCCACCCCCAGTGATGTGCTTCCTCTGGCATGGCCACACCTCCTAAAGCCTCCCGAAACAGCGCCACCAACTGGGGACAAGGTGTTCAAATACCTGGAGGCCATGGGGAACATTTTTATTCAAACTATCATAGTCACTCAGCAAGGACACCATCTATACACACGCGCGCACACACACACACACACACACACACACACTTGAAAAATATTTTGCAGCACTAATGTATCAGAACACAGTCAAAGACATTTTTCCTAGAACAATGATGATGGCAAATTGTGTCTGGTTTTGAGTGTTGGTCCACTGGCAGGGCTGTGGGGACTCTTTCTCCAGAACACTGACCTTCAGCCAGGCCTAGAGTAGACGGGTCTTCAAAGACAGCATAAGGTAGTAAGTGCTGCAGAACAGAGTTCAAGACCTGCACCAACATTCCCAGCAGCATCTGCATGCATCTTGTTATCCTGTCTCCTAGGTGACAGGCATTTCCTGCTTTACAAGTCTCTTGTGAGGTTTCCCTCCTCACCCTGGAAGGCTCCATTAGCACGTGGCCCCGCCCACCTCTGCTGCTTCCTCTGCTCCTTCTCCCTACCTATTGCCAAGGCTTTAACAATATGGGACTGCAGGCGGTTGCCCAATGTAAACTGTGGCAAGTCCCCAACAGCCTTATGCCTGTTCCCTTCCCTTGGTCTTTAGCTCAAGCCTCTATTCTTCTGCCACATCTTCTCTGAACCTCTTCTGGCCTCTTCTCTAGCAGCCTGGGCAATCCTGCCCTATACTTTCCCTTCTACTGGTATGGGCAGGACATGCCCTCAACAAAGAGATCCCAAGTAGCTTGTCATGGTCAGAAGGGTTAGCAAGCCACTGATGATGACATCTGTTCTGATTAGGATGGTTCCAGGACCTGTACACAAATGTCCCCTCCTCTGTAAGGCAATTCCTGATCCATAGGGCCATACTTTACTTTGCTTCTTGTACCCTGGGAGCCTGGTGGTCTCCTAAGCCCATAGGAGAGGCCTGTTGAATATGCTCACAATCCTTCAACAAAAGCACAAAGCCAGCCTGGAAATACGCTCAATCGGAACTTGGTTTCCCAATGTGTTTTCTTCCCAGTTTTTCAACTTCTATAGCTTTGGTATGATGATTCTACACAAATGGGGAAATGATTGAGAACAGGGGTAAACCAGGAGAAGATTCAAAGACAGGAGCCAGGAAGGAGGAGGGAGGGATTCTGGGGAGCTGGAGCCAGACTACTGTTGAGGTAGCTGGGGGTGGAAAAGCAATTGCTCCCCTTGTGTAGAGCTGCATCCCAGGGAGGAAGGTGCCAGACAGAGCAGCCCACCCATCTGGCTGTACCATCTCGCCCATCCCCATCTGGTGAAAACTGATGGCACTCACAGAGGCAAGAGGCCTAGAGCCTTCTTCATAGCTCTGTATTGTCCTAGCTCTGCTATTAATTCTTGTCTTAGTCTCAAGTTTCTCACCTAAAAATGGAAGCTTACATTAAATTGGCAGCTCTCACTCCCTGTCTGTGACTCACAGTCAGAAAACCATGTGACACTTGAACCCAGCAGACACACAGCCAATGAAACTCTGAACTGCAATGTCACCAAAAAACACCAACCTTTCCAACCCACTGTGTTCCCTCCATTATCCTGCCTGCTTTTATTAAAGTGTGACATGAGTACAGTGGAGGGAACCCCTGAGAAACGAACGTCTTGATGGAGTTCTACAAACTGTTAATACTCATGGAAGGCAGGCCTGGTGATACAGGCCTGTAATCCCAGGAGGCCGAGGCATAAGGATGGTAAGATATCTGGGCTTGCTCAAGGCAGCCTGAGCAACTTAGTCTCTCTCTCTCTCTCTCTCTCTCTCTCTCTCTCTCTCTCTCTCTCTCTCTGTGTTTTTGTGTATGGGTGTGTGTGGGGGTCTTTG